TGTGTGTGTGTGTGTGTGTGTGTGTGTGTGCAACTGAGCGGTGATGAGTGTGAATATGAGATCTTCCTTTTTTCACACAGGTGAAAGCCGGATATTTTTCGCTCAGGTGCTGAGTGTGTGCTGGCTTCCATATCTGTGTGCATGTACAGTGTGTGTGTATTGAAGAGGGGAAGGGGGGCTGCTGAGGGGTGTTACTTCAACAGGTGTGTGTCTGACAACAGAGGGAAAAGCTAAAGGATTAGGGGATTACTCAAGTGCAACATAACCTGAGACACACACACACACACACAGACACAGACACAGACACAGACACACACACACACACACACACACACACACACACACACACACACACACACACACACACACACACACACACACACACACACAAACATGTTGACATAACTTTGAATTAACTTGCCAATGCAAATATGCAGGAAAAGATGCATGTACACAAATCAAGGCTCAATTATAATGTTGTTCTTTATTGATTTAACATTTCCTTTTAATTAACTGGTTTATAAATAGACTAAATTAATCCAGTTCTCGGAATAATTGTCCACTTATAAAATGTCAATAAAACCTCCACTGCGTTCAAATTTCAAATGTTGTCTCATAAAAGTCCTAAAACCAAAGATATTAATAATAATGACATAAGTTGCAATAAAAAAGCCTCACAATACCAGGAAAATACTTTTTATACTGTCTTCATACATAACTAAAAGCCATTCATACTTAATGGGACTATAAAATCTTCACATAAAAGGTTAAAGAAGTTTTTCACAATGATTTTCAGTAAGCTATTGCTGTCATCATCTGTTGAACAACTTTGATTGATCAAGTAAGTGTTTTAGCACCAACACACACACACACACACACACACACACACACACACACACACACACACACACACACACACACACACACACACACACCTTACCAAAGTTAGTGTCCTCTCCGAGATCCCGTCCATACTTGCCCATACACTCCCCGAGCAGCCCCTCGGCCTGGGGGTAGCCCGGGTTCTTCACCTGGCCGCGGATCTTCGACATGGTGTTCAACATGGACAGTTTGGCCCGTGATGCTGCGGAAGGGATGTTGAATAAATATCATCACGGTTTAAACTTGAGATGCACTGATCGACCCACTACCGGTCAACACAGGCTGTTTGTCAGATGATCTTTGCACGTCGAATGTACATGCATGTGGCGCGTGATTAGTGCATGTTTCTAACAGAGTGGCACAGACAATAAAATCCCAGCATGCACATTCAAATCATTTTGTAGTGTGGAATGATGGCAATAATGATGCGTGGGTCGTACTAACTACCTAGAAAAAGGGGGTCAGCGGTTCAAAAAAGGGACAAAGCATCAAAGCTTCAAACATTATGAGTGACAGTCCACCTTCTTACTTTTCTTTCCATATCTCTTTGTCTCCCTCTCAAACAGAAAACACAAACAGTCTAAATAATTGCATGGAAACCGGGTTTTTTCTCACCTGGGTTGGGCTGAAGGTACTCTGATGTTTTGGAGATTACCTCCACTACTGCTTTACTGGTCACATCTACTTTCTACGAAACACAGCAAACACACATACATCACACGTGTACAACAGAGCTACTGTAACCACACAGCTACAACTAAATAGAGACAGGCACCACTGTATGCTCATTGGATCATACAGGAAGTTTAAAGTATTACAAAAAAAATGTAAAATGAGTCATTTTCATTCTCATCAAATTTCAATACCGTACAAGTTATGTATATTATGGATATAACAGTAACAACTGGCTGTATGAAGCCTGAGAGCTGGAGGCTTTCTTTAGCACTCTTAATATCTTTTTATATTAGATGTATTCCTGTTTTGGATGATAAACTAAATCAAAAATGTTAACTAAGACTGCAAACCGTAAAGATGTGCATTATCAGTTAGCGGCAGTTATTTTCTGGATTAAACAATAACAAATGGTCTATAACATTTAAATTCACAGGAGCCTAATGTTATGTCTTCAAAACTGTTTTGTCTACCCAGCAGTCCAAACCCAAAGACAGTCAAAGAACGATCATACCAGAAGACTAAATAAATCAGCAAATATTCACCTTGTAAAAGTTGTAAAATGTTGCTTGAAAACAAACTGTTGTTGATAGACTTGTTTCTGGTGTCATCAAGCGTTTTAGAGAGATTTAGCAACGTGTTGTCGACCACCAGAAGACGATGTATTGTTTTAAACGAGGTTGAAACATCAAGAGCAAAGTCCCACAGGCACAGCAGTTTGCTTGTTTACTGAGTGTAAACCTAACCATACAAAGATGCCTCTCTTACCCGTTCCAAGTCTCTGAAGTCATCATCTAGTTTGGTTCCTTCTGCACCTCCGACTTTCTCACTGACCAGCTGGAGGGAGAGACGGAAAGAGAGGGAAAGGCAGGAGGAAGGGGGAGAAAAGACACAGTACTCATGAATTAATGCTTTCTATTCGAGTGTGGAAACAAGTTCCTTTCTAATTAAAAAACACATTCACACGCCTGCTTTGTGTAGAAAATTAAAAACTGAACTTTTCGCCAAATGTATGTGATCACCGTGAACGCCTGTGTTGTACCAAACCTTCCTTTAACTTAACTCATCAGGTGTCTTTAAGATATGATTTTAGAAGCATATCACAGTGTAGCAAAAATATATGAATCCAAAGAACAACAAGAGCTGTGTTATGTAATTCCTGTTGTTTTGATTTTGCAGGGTGAAGAAATGTTCCTCCAGCAAACTCTGTTAAAGTAAAACATGTTGACGTGAAACCCAACAGAGAAGTTCTGCATGTCATAAGGCCACAGACACGAGTCTAACAAATTGAAAAAGTGTGTCTTTTGTGTGCTTTTTTACATCGTCGTCGGCTAATTCCTAAAAATGTGAGCAGGATTCATGTTTTTTCAGAGAAGTCACTCACAGAGAACTGGAAAATGAATGAAACTGTTGTTCTGGCTTTGAGATGCTTTGACTTCAAGATAGTGAAAACCTTGAGTGCTGTGTCCCTGAGCTGCATGCTTCCATAACTGAGTTTCTCTGGCACACAAAGACAACCCCCAACACAACAAGTTAGATACTAAAAAAAAAAGTCCTTGGTTACAGAGTCACTTGCAGACTTTCTGCAAAGACAAAAGCAAACCACAAGGATACTTTGACTCAGGTGTATGCCATGTGTCACACCAGGGTGGAATGAATCTGTGTTCATCTGGTGCATTTACGTTTTCAGGGAGGTTGTTACAACCCGGCTTTTAATGTTCAATTGTTTCCCCTACAGTACTCGCAGGGGGAGCGCTGTCTGGACATTTAATTAAAGACTGCAAAAGAGGCCTTGAAAGAGGGATGAGTCATTTTGAAACTTTAACGCTTCAGTAAATGTTTCTAGAGTCGTTGATGTGAGAGACGACGAGTATTGCTTTCCTTCAAAATACAGTATATTACCATCGAGGGATTCTTTTAGAATTTTAACAGATTACTTTTTAGACAATTGCATAGTTGTAGGAGCTAGCCTATAAAACACAGGCTAAGTAATGTGTCACATTTGTAACCAACACCTTTATATTTTTGCCAATTGATCAATTTTGGTTAAAAGATGAAGACAACATTTTTCTCTACATTTTCAAATGCAGTCATCTGTGATAGAGCTAAGGCAGTTTGAGTCATTTCCTACAAACTGCTGTTTAGGATTGCTGGAATTAGCACTGGGTCTGAGGGAAGTGCTTATGAGTTAGAGTGTGTAATGTAGATTTACATCAAAGCTTTAAGTATACAGATTACATCATTAGGGTTGTTTATCTTTCACCTGTTCTGAGAAACAAAGAAATGAAATACATAATGTTCACTCTTTCCCCAGCAGTGGCTGTTGGGGAATCTCCACAGCTGAGTCTCTGCTGTGTGTGGAAAGCACATGACCGGGGGGCCTGGGGGGGCTCAGGTCACAAGTAAAGATACACCATCAGCTCTGCGTCTACATTTGACTCCCTACATCTGGGTTAGGATTGCAGTGTGCACTCCTACATTTGTACCATCTCATCTTCTCCAACGCCCTAGTCTGTCTTACAAAACGTTTAGGGGTAGGTAACACATTTCATTTATGACAGGTTTTACAGTGTTTATTTAATAAGTCACTAAACTTGAGATATGCATTTTGTCTGACGTTGGATTGGGAAATTGAAGCAAGCAAAGTGATGCGTTAGCCACTTATAAATCTTCTGCAAATGAAAACATCAAGTTCTCATGTGAGTGTAACATGCATATTGACATGCACACAGGCTCTAAGGACTGCAGCCCAAACACATCCACACAAAGGTTCTCAACTGGAAGCTTTGGTATAAACACACATAGCTACACAGAGGGATCAGTCTATAACATGTATCCTCTTCATTATAATAACTAGGTATTTTAGCTACTAGTAGTAGTTTCTTAAATGCTACTACATTATCACAAAGCCTAGTGTCAGGTGTTTTTCCACATCACTTGAAGACTGAAAGACCAAGAAAGGTGTTTTACATTAAATGTGTAGATACCAGATGAAAAGCAAGTGAAAGTCATACAATGGCAGCCTTGTGTTCATCTATATTGTTGACTTACATAGCATTACGCACATCAGCTGATGAACATCAGCTGGCAGGGAAAACATTATTTTAAGCTATACATTTCTTTCACATAAAATACTTGTTTTATTTGTTTAGCATTATGTGCTTTATTGCTATTGTAAAAGCCAATATTTGTAATTTAGAAAATGTAAGCGCAGAACAAAAAGGCTAAAATGAAAACATCCTACAGATTAGAAACAACATTGTGTCTAGAAAACTTTAAATCAAAACCAGGTCAGGGAGGGTGGGTTGAGATCAAAGCTAGATATAAAAGTAAAGATCTTCAACCACAGTGTCTGAGCAACACACATTTCAGAGGAAAAGATGTTCCTGTTCTCAGGTATTAAGCATATCAGTGATTGTCAAATTCTGTGTATCTGTACTACTATCTGGCCAATGGAAATGTTTCAGATTTTCATAGTTTTTTGTTTTCCTTTATTCTTACTTCACTCAGTAATGCCTGTTGGCGCTTGTACGTTTATATATTTGTCCACGTTCCTGCATCATAAATTCAAATAGCAACTCTTTCCTTGTTTCTAGTAATCAGTAAGCCAACAATAACAACAACTACCATTTCCTCTTTCACACAGAAGCCTGTCACCACAGTATTTCACTTGCACCTGTATGATGGCTTTATCTACTTTGAGAGAAATACTTTCCTAGGTGGGGGATTAGAATACAGAGCGATTCTCAGTCATAGGGATTAACCCCAGATAACATGATGAACATGATAGATGAAGTCTGCATTCTGCACCACACTCTAATCTACCTTTCATCGACACATCTGTAACCTACTGCGTCCTGATTCAACTGTGTATTAAGACTCAATATAATGAAAAAGCCAAACAGTTAAGGGCAATTTAGAACTGTTCAGACACACTCCTAACACGAACAATGTATTTCAACTTTTTACCTCGCAATAGTAAAAGTAAAAAAAAATAAAGATAGAAAATAAAGCACTAGTTATTGTTATTTACACAATGGCTACTTGGGACTTTTGAAATTGGTTGTCTGGTGGGTTTACATTATGTTCTGGTAACTGAACAGTATAATTGGACACCTCTGCACAGCTGTTTTGTGCAGTATGAAACTAAAGGCAAGGCCAGCAACAGTGAATTTTAAAGGAGAAATCCACAAGTCTACTGGTTCATTGCATCACTTTGCTTCTGAGTCAACCATTACACAATTAGAAACAGATAACTTGTTTGGTATTATCCCTTAGTTAATGTTTGATGTTCCCAATGTGAGCATAACTTGTCTTTTTTTCCAGCTATAACATTAAGCATTTGAGAACCAGAAGACTAAATGAAGTTGATAAACTGCACAACTATAGCCTAAACTGTCTAACTTAGTTGTCTCCATTCAGGAGTAAAGATCACTCCAGCCGTCACACCTATAAGTTATTGTGTTAAGTTGTTGATTTAACTGCCCTTTGAGACTGACATTTCAGGTTTCTAAGATTTAGTGTTGAGAGTAATTCTTAGAAAAATAGATAACAGCAAAAGAGAGACAGAAAAGCAGAAAAACAAGGATGTTTGAAGCTACAGGACACAGATATCATTTCCACAGCCAACTTCCTGCATGCCTCCAGTGAAGAAAATCCAAGCTATGTCAAGTATTATTGACTCTAGTGGAGTTTTGGCAATACAATCAGCTGCATTTCAGGGAAATAAAGGGAAAGGACACTATTTCAGCCTCCTTCTCTGCATCAATACTTAGATCACTTTCACTAATCCACTTAATCTCCCATAAACCCCTTTACTGATCTGTTTCATACAGACAACACTACTAACACGACCGCTTCTAATCATATTATTGTTCTTCATAACTAACCCAACAGGGATCTGAGTCTGTTCCTGACAGGAAGCTAGGGCAGCAACCAAATGTCTTTCCTGCTTAGATCAGCAGGGGTAGGAAGAAAAAAGAGACTGGAAAAAAAAAAATTTGAACCGTCCCCGCCCATGACTAAGAGAGCTGGGCAAAATTAAAAACATTCGTACCAAGGTTTAGACCTGGTTTAGACACTGAAAGATGGTTTATATTCATATCAGGCCGTGCCATTTCTAACCTATAGGTATTTTAAATGTCTCTCCTAAGTGGCCTAGTTATCGATCTGTGTCACTAAACAAAGACTAAACCAGCTGGAATAGGTAACTTGGTCTTCACTGCAGAGAAGCATTACCAAAACCTTATGTTTCGGTTACACTAACTCACAAAAGAAAATTATCTTCCTTATAATAAAGACAACTGTTCACTTCATGTGTCTCTCCTTAACTGCCCCTATTATTGATCCGGGTAACTAAACAAAAGATTAACACAACACTGCTGGACAATAGGTAACTGGGTCCTCACTGCAGAGAAGCATTACCAAAACCTTAAGTTTAGGATACATTAACTCACACAAGTGAATTATCGTTCCCATTATAAAGACAACCGTTGTGTCTGTTTATAATGCATTACTTTTTACTGTATTGTTATTTTATTCTCAGATCCTGACTCACCCTTGGCAAACAGAGCTAATGTTTACCACAGGATGTGTACTTACTGAATCTGAATTGGTGCACTGCTGGGTACGTTAGCTTAAAAAAACACAATATGAAATACCTGTACACAGCTAATAGCACAAAGACGTCCCTTAGCATTAGCTCAAGATAGTTAGTTCAGTTAATGCAAAACATGTCCGAGAGATGCTCATAAAGTTTAAGCTGTGAAAGAACACAAAGTGCCAACTAAAAATAACACTGACATTTAACACACTGGTACAAAACGTTTCCAATAATGTTAGCTTCCGGGCTGTCACCACACAGTTACAGCTACATTAACAAAGCGTTATTAACAATAGCCAACTATAAACTGCGAGCTAATAATGCTAACTAAAGCTACCTAGCTACATGACAGTTAGCTAGCTAGAAGAAAAGTTTTGCAAACCTGGCTGGCTTTATAAAACTGCTTCTTGAAGCCCGCTACCGACATCTTGAGCTCCGGCTTTGTCTTCAACTTCCAACGGAGGTGTAATTGGTTTTAACTAAAGTTAGCGTTATAGTTTGTTAGAAAAAAGGGGGCCAGTGCAACAAATAAAAAAATGTTTAGCAGGAATCATAGGACTGCACAGCCGTCACTCCGAGTCGGGACACGCCAACTGACCACGTCAACGTCGAGGATTATTGTTCCCACTGTCACGGAAGATAACGGAGCTAAGTTTGCAAAAATACAACGAAATATCGTCCGAACTAATAAAACATCTAAGAGAAACTTGTAAGTTATACAGGGTATCAAATCTGGACCAGCCACTTTGAAGAAAAATCAGTCTCTCGAGTTTGGATCAGATAGTAGCAGACGGATCTTCCGTTAGTGCACCCCGCCCCCTGCTGGATGGAGCAGGAAACCCCGTCTGTCTGCTGCCGGGTTTACAGACCAGATGTTCAAAGCCTCAGGCAACATCAGCATTTTTTATGTCTAGTGAAATAACTAAGAGGTCCTTATAAATACTAATGAAATTGACTTTTATATATATAAATACATTAATTAATTAATACATTATCTTACATTTAATTTAGCTGACACTTTTATCCAAAGCGACTTAGGTGCATAAACCATAAACATAGTATTTGCTTCACGTAAGTCAAACCATTGTAAGTGCACCATGTCTAACATTGTAGGTGCATATTTAGATACAGACCAGATGTTCACAGCCTCAGGCAACATCAGCCTTTTTTATGTCTAAAAAAGAGGTCCTAATTAGCCAAAACAAATTAAATGAGACTATATTGTGTTTTTGACTGCTGCAAAACATAGCTAGTTAACTCGCAAGTGTACCACCGAGCAAAACATGAATCAATTCAACCCCATTCTTCCTGTGCAGCTCTATACTTTGCTAAAGACTTGCTGTGTAGAAGTTCAAGTTAAATATCATCTCAGCTCATCTATCTGCACCATTTGCTGCTGTAACACTGCCTGAAAAAGGATTTCTTATTCTGATTATAGAATATATAATACCAGGTGTTTTAGAGGTGGATACTTCAAAAACTCACTAAACTATTTTTAAACACCCTATGTGACTTGTTGGTATGGAGTACATTTTAATTTCTTTATGATTGTTGAGGAGACACACAATAACAGAGGGGATGATGGAAAGCGTGATTATTGTTTCAGAATTATCATTCTGGGAATACAAACAAATTTACACATTTCTACTAATTAAACCACTAATCTATTTAAAAAAATAGATCTATGTATTATTAACTTGTTATTAAATCATTATTTCATGTGGGTATAGGATATACATTGGTTTCGGTTGTGCAGATTTTGGGAGCAGTTTAATAAAACAAAGAAAAAACTGAAGATTTTCTTTTTATTGCAAAATGATTTTTATTACATTCTTAAATCCACATATATCACCATTGTGCAATAGCACTTTACTGTGTTAAAAGCTCTTTTGCTTTATATCCATAACATGTACATTATTTCTTATTAAAATCTATATTGATTTAATAATAATAATCTTAAAATAGAGTGAACATATAAACAGAAGGATCATGACAAATGAGAAACCTTTTAGGGAGTCATCTTTAAAAACGCTCTTTTAAAAAAATAGAATTACATCTCTCCAAGACAAAAAGGACACTAAACTGAGGAGAAAAACCGGACACATAGGGATACAAATTATGAAACAAAAAATCACAACAAAACCAACACAAGATTCAGAGATTATAGTCCATCTTTTAACACTTTTTTTTTTATATAATTACTTTTTTAAATATCCTATTTCACTCAAAAAAAGTCTTGCAATAATGATGTCAAACAAAGGGTAACATCTTTGATACTTCTGAAATCAAACATTCACAAGAACATGAACTGTACACAGTGATCAAGGTGTTAAGGTCTTCTACGTTGGTGAAAGGTGTCCTGCTAGCTAAACACTGCAGGACAGAGAGCCCAGCTATCTCCCTGAGTAACTCCAAACGGAAATGTAAGCGCTGATTTTCAGTGCTGCCCCCTGGACAGCTTTTAGTCCTGCAAAAACTATCAAATATACTGAATCAGCATAGTCTCACATTCTTTACACAGAAAGTATTGCACTCTGTTACAATCTGTAAGCCTCATCGTAGTATTTGGTACATTTTAAGGTAAATAACATCTGTCATGCTGCGAGGTTTACTGTGCTGGAGTGCTTCTAAAAAAGAAACTGTCTGTAATACATGGCAACATGCCAGTGTCTAACGTACCCAGAAAAGGGTAATACCTCTTCACAAAGTATGGCGCATAGCACTGTTCCAGCAGTGCAAAGCAAACAGGCTGACATCAAACAGAGCTAGACATCCAACAACATGTGATTGTCTTAAAATGCTTACAGCAACGATTACAAATGTCTTTCTGTGGCAGCTTCTTTAGGACACTGGTAGAATAAAGCTTGTCTTTGTAGAAAGGTTTCATCTGGACACACCCTCGAGTCCCCAGATACTTTCCTTCAGATAGATCCGTATCTAAGTAGGGCTTCCTGTAACTTAAGGCAAGTCCTACTCTCAAATGACAGAAAAACAAACGACAGAATGGATGTCCAGAGTTTAACTAGATCCAGCAGTTCAGTTTGCATTTTGTTTTAAGAGCAAACAAAATTATATTTTAGGATATTTAACCATCAATGGCTTTCAAATGTTCTCTTTTTGATGCAGAAATACTAACTCAGGGGGGTAGCTGACGGCTCTGTCAACCCTTTGCTGTGCCATGTAGTGTTTGAAGAGGGTGAGGTAGTAAGGGAGTAGGGAAAAAGGGAACAGAGGATCTAATTCTCTTATAAGAACACCTTGGTTTAAACCCGAATCAGTGAGAGTTGTTGCAGACATTAACTAATGTCTAAAAAGATTAAATAACACCATCACCCACATGTCCACTCTCCATTATATCCCGTCATCCAACCATATAGGTAGATGTCACATTTCAACATCAAACATTCCGTACATTCTCTTTCTTTGCTCCGAAAGTCTTTGAATCTGCTGGTTAAGACGGTGGCAGAAAAAAAAAGTGATCCGAGGTGCGAACAGTTCCAGATGCTCCTCCATGAGAGCACTAACCCCACAGTTGTCAGCTGGCCAGCACCTTGTTCATCCAGCTTATCTAGTGGGAGTGCGTATCTAGCATTTCTGACTGGTTTCACATAAGTTTCACAGATGGCAGCATGAGTGCGAGCTCGTAAAATCTTGTGCCAAGAGTTTGTTTTGGTTTCTAAATAGGTCTCTTACTGTAAGTGCTAATTACCAATTAGACAACAATCTTTCCATCCCATGAACCCAAGGTTTGGGCAGACAGTATAGAGACCTGAACACAAGAATATTCCTCTGCTTCTCACTTGGACTGCACTTAAATTGAATGAGGTTTTATATATTACTTATTTATAAAAAGGAGCTTACTTTTAAATACCTCTGAGTGGCATTTTAACTGGGAAAAGGTATTGAGGCTGAGGTCACCGATTGCAAAAGAAAAACCTACTTACATCAGCGTCTGTGAGTTATAGTAAAAATACCTACAAAGATAAGTGCTTTGTGCTGTGTGAAAGCGTTTGTAGGTACCCTTGGTTCACACATAAAAAAAAAAAAAACTATGTTAGTTTGATCGTGGTCCCTTTAAACAGTTTGCTCAATACAAAACTGCAAAATATGGGCGATACCAACAAATATATACTGTTATTAGACTGAGAACTGCAGACCTCCACAAAGTGGACGAGGATTTAAAGTATTTACATTCTATATCGAGCCTAGGGCGGTAAAGGGAAAAGGCTGTACATTCAACAATAGCTTACAGGAACTGTGAGAATAGTGAAAGTCAAATTCAGCTTGATGAGATCTTTAAGGTTGTCTCATAGAAAAATATTTTTGAGTATACAAATAATGTAGGCTACTCTTCGATAAGTTCCTTTAAAAAAAGAGGTGCCCAGCCGCAGTTCCTTCAGTGTTAGGTTGAAGCTGAATGGACCGGACGCAGGGCAGATCGAGCTACTCCACACAGTTTGGGAGCTCTTAGGTGAGAGGAGTGTGTCTTAAAGTGTAGCGTGCATGATTGTCAATAAGCTGCTGCTTGGTTTTGCCTCAGCTGGTTGCCACATTTTTATCTCCCCTTCCCTACACCTCAGTGTCTTAATTTAAATCCCGCTATTTTTAGCTAAACAGTATTAGCCCTCTGTGGAGTCTGGGAAGGTGATTTCACTGCCAAAAACCTCCCTGTACAGAGGAGGGAAGGTGTACGCTGTCTCGGGGTGGACCAGACGGAAAAACTCCAGTTTGTCGATGTGAAGGTTGCAAATGGACTTCAGAATGGGTAGCTTAGACACCATCTAAAAAGGGAAATACAGAGAAGCAGAAGTTAAAAGAAGAAATAAACACAAGTTAATGTTGTATTAATAGGTGAATATTACATTTTGTCACCAAACTAGCCCAGTAACGCAGCAGGATTTATACCTTAGCTAGTTTCTGTTCTGTTGCTCCCTCTTTCTGTAGGCAGCCCTGCAGAGCCACGTACACTTTCTCCTGCAACTTCTGTATCTTCTGAACATCCGTCAGCCAGGGGCGGTCTGAGGGAAATAAGAGTGACAAGATTGTTTTATTAGTGTCGTCATGTTGACATTGTCAATTTGAAGCTGCACCTTGTGAGGTTCATGCTCGTTGTGACGGGCACATTAGATTTTGACTGCTTATACTTTACATAACTGGATCATTTCTTAAAATCACATTTTAACTTTTAGATGGATTTCGCTCAGGGCGGCTTCACAACACAAAGAAAATGAATTAGTTTAACGATATTTTATAATAACTTTGTGAAAGTTACACTAACATTGCATGGTGCAGATGTCAGCAGACACTCTTAAGCGCCAAGTGGTTTCAGCTCTGTCTGAGCTGATTTTCATACTCTATTTGTAATGAACTGGCTTCAAAGGAGGAATGTAAAAAATGTATGTTATGCTAGAGAAAATGACCATCAGTAAAGTCAATTATACACGCTTGGCAGATTTTGCATGCTCAATTGTGGGTACAATAAGTTAGGGAGTTTCTCACAGGCACTTATTTAATATCATATCCGTGAGTGTCACCATGGGTGCAGCATAGCTGAAGTAGGTGTGTTAAGATTTTTGTAAAATATTAAAGTACATTGAATTCTTTGACAGCAAAACAAGCAAACACATGTCTGCTCCTTTAGCAGTATGATGTATGGGTATGTTCACAGGCTGAATTGGTGAAGATTTTTTGTGATGTGAATTGTGAAGATACTTTTATTTTGCAGCTTATATGGATGGATTTTGCGATCTAAACAAACAGGCAGTATTAACAGAATAGGTTGAAACTGTCTTAATAACAGTATCCTGACTAAGCTACTAGCACAGATTGGTTGGAAATGAAGTAAAATGTGTCCCTAAGGTCTTTCTAATAAATGAAATGCATAATTATCCTGTCATTTTTCAAACATAAATATTTAGTGGTTAGTAGTGACAGTATTATAGTAGATGAATCAATTTGAACGTGTAGGATTGATGTTATGTCATCTTTAGAGAGGTCACCTTCAGTTAGACTAATATGAGAGACTAATAGTCTGTAGCTCTTAAACACACAACTCACATAATCTAATTACTTGTAATAAGCCCTACTGATGTCGTCCATTGGCGTCAAAAAACTGATTAAGCTGTTGTGCGTCAAACTTGTGCAGCGCCGGTAAACCCTTCTGTTGACTGTCTACATAACAGAGCTATTAATGTACCGAATGTTTGACATACAGTTGGGCTGTACCCGAATATCCGAATATTCGTTCGTTGGAGTACAATTCGGGTTTCAATTTCGTTATTCGGATATTCGTTTTTTTTTTATTTCTTGAAATCTCCAATATCGCCGTAAGAGCTTGTGCCTCTTCGTGGGTTGCTAACACTTAACCATAAACTTTATCGTTTACTTTCTCCGTCTTTATATGTAGATATGACTTTTCTCCGTTAATCTCCGGCACGTTGTTTCCATAGCAACAACAACTTGCTGTCAACAGTGCTAACTCTCCTTCAAAATAAAAGCATGTCGATACAAAATAGGAAGCCAAGCCAAATTACACAAAAAATGGTATTCGGGACAGCCTTAACATACAGTGAGAGTTTATTAGTATAAGTGTAAATACTACAGTGATCACAAACATAGTGAATTAAATCAAACGGATCTTACCTGGAGAGAGCAGCACAGCAGCGCTGAAGAGAGCCATCTCTTCCTCTGACATCTGAACACGACTCAGGGTTTTAGCTAGGTCGAAAACTGAATTCACAAGGTCGTCACAGCCTGGAGGGAGAGAGCGGGAGAACAAGAAAGTCATCATCAGAACAGAAACTACTGACTGGGATGATTTTTTTAAAACAGATGAAACACACAAAAAAGTTGCAATTGGAAGTGTTCACTCACCAAGAGCTTTGAAGAGATGTGCAGTGGCAAACTTTCCATCAAACAGCATAGTGTTGTTGATGGGGTTATAGGCCCGACACATGCGGATCAGAAGAACGTCCATGCAGCCTGCGGATACACAAAAGAAAAAGAAAGATTAATGCCTGTTTTTAAATGCCTTTTTAATAATGTATTAATGCTGTATTTGTTCTTAAATGTCTTTTGCTTTTAATCTGTAAAGCACTTTGAATCGCCACGTGCTGAAAAGTGCTATATAAATAAAATTGCCTTGCCTTGCCATATACAGTATATATCTGAATAGTTGCCATACAAGGGAAAGAAGCAATATGAGCCTCCACACTCGCACTTAAAGGATCTAATTAGGTTGTGTTCAGCAGCAACACTGACAAGAAGTCAGTGGCTGTAATCTTTATAAATAGTACCCTGAGGAAATGAAAGTTAAAAAATACAAATAAATTAAAAAGGAACAGTGAAATATATCCCCACTCTAAGGAGTTCTCTTTTTCACCCCGGTTAAATGTAGGCGTGTAGAGAAAAATATGCAAAATGTAATTAGGAAAAATACATTAAATGATAACAGAGAGTTCTTTTCAATATTCAGCGCTTGGAAAAGACATGAACACTGACACAATTAATTACTAGCATTGTTGCAAGTTGTAAGAAGAAGGCTTTGTACTTTTTTTAATAAATGTTTCTAGGATTAAATAAACAAAAACATTATTTTCACCTGTACAACAAAGGGTGTGGTTAACATCAACAGTACATAACTGAGTCACAGGTACATTCATGATCACTGTTGATTGAGTGTTGTTGTGGATTTGAAATATGTGCAGTGATGATACTTTGAAGAATGTGTTCCCGTATGAATGTATTTATCAGTTCTTGATGATCAACATAACAATCTTGTAAACCGTCTCCGCCCTGCATCGTGGTTTGGCAGATCACTCATGGGTAGGGAAGGTTACCGAGAACCGGTACTAAGTCAATACCGGTACCTGATTGGACGGTATCGGTATACCGTTAAGCCGCTGGACAAACGGTGCTGCTATCGGTAGATCTGTTACGTCTACTTCCTTAGTTTAACTTTAAACCATTCTGGTTGGTTGGGAACCCTCATCCTATGTGATGTATCCGGTTTGAGACCCCTCTGATTGGCCACTGTAAATGCCACTCCTCATCTCTCTCAACAGCGCTCTTATTATTGTTGTGAGACTCCCGCAGGCATGGCGGATAGAGCGAAGCGATCGAAGGTCTGGATGCACTTTAAAAAAATGTAGTGGCGATAGTGCAAGGTGCAATCTATGTACTCAATTAGTTGCTTGTAAAGGGGGTGACACAAGCAACTTAATGAAGCATTTGCAAACGAGACACTCATTGAATCTTAAACGGTGCTAGCGATACTGCTAGTGCTACTAGTGCTAATAGTGCTAGCGGGCTTCAGCCGCGCCGTGTGTAAATGTGACCTGAGCGAAGGCTCGCAGGCAGGCAGGCTGGGTGCAGTCTTGCAGGCACATCGCCTTGTTTTTTTTTAGTTTATTAACACCAAATTATTGAAAAGTATCGATAAGAGTATCGAAAAATACCGATACCGATAAGCAGTACCGGTACCGGTATTGATAAAATCCTAACGATACCCATCCCTACGAGTCATGGGTGTGGAGCCCCTTTGAAGTATTGACAACCTTACTGATACATTTAATTAAGTCTTATGAACACCTTTCTGAGAAAACCTTGGTGTACGTGCTGCTTCCTCATTAAATGTCTCCATCTTGGTTGTCGACTAAAAATACAAACTTCCATTTAACGTTTCCAACACCTGAAGAAATATATCACACAAAGCCCTCTCTTGAATTAGGAGTTCATAAGGTGCTTTGATCTGAGGCGGCTCGCAGCGTGACTAAAACAAGGCCAGCCATTCTTTAGAGGCCCTTTTTCAAGTCATTCTGCTTGCATGTGATTTTTGAACTTGGTGGACTGAGAAGAGGATAATGTACTGTTCATATGAAAATGGCTCTCTTTGCTGCAGCTAAAAGTTAGTAAAGTAATATCAATCAATAAATACTCTGTCCTTAGGGAGGACATGTTATGCTTATTCTTAAGTTCATATTTGTATTTTGTGCTTCCAGTCTTTGCAGACCACTTACATGAATGTGTGTGTATAGGTTAAAAAAGAGAATTCATAACGCATAATACACACGTACAGTTTTTTGTAAAGCTCCAGTGTGTATGCTGGTGTCCTGCACTGACCTGCTTTGAGGAGGATGATCTGATCGTTCTGACACAGGTCCAGGAAGCCAGAGATACGCTTGGCAAACTCCACCACGTACTGGATTGCATTGGTGATGTGAACGGCACATTGTTGCCACATCATCTCAGCTGACTGGCAGAGACAGACAAAGGATCTTTTATTAGAATTGCAATCCATGAGGTCATCATTCAAGTTGTATCTCATTGTTCTCTGTTGAATTTGTGCTTATCTAGACTCGGCTTGAGCGATTTCAAAAAATGCGTCCTGACCTAGTAACCTTTGATAATGTTTCCTGCATATCCTAAAACCTTGACTAGGGATACAAAATGCAGAGAAGGAGATTTGCAATAAACATATTTTGATTTACAAACACCACTGTAAGAATAAACAATGGAGATAAGAAGGGACACTTTAGTTTGTTTCCGAGAACTTCTTCTAGAAGCTTTTTTGCGTAAGGTTAAAAAACATAAACACATTCCTCCGTGAACTGGACGAGACCACAACACAGTATGAACATGTCAATTATACTGACATGAAATAATCATTTATGTGTACTTTATATATGGTCTTTACTCGGGCGGCTTGATTTGGAAAAAATTAAATAACTTATTGCAATTGTCAGATGATGTTTACATGTGATATACTGGACATGTGATATGCTGTACTTGCAATACAATCATTTGCCTTGTTTTTTTTACTGCTGCAACGCAAACATTTCACAAATTGGGATCAATAAAGTACTTATCTATCTATGTGTCGTACACACCTTGGTCTGGAATGAACGGGTCTCCTCGGGGCTATACAGGGTCCACGCCATTCTCTTCAGCTCCTCTGTGCTGTAATGGCTCGTCTCAACGTGGGACTTCAGGACACTCTGAGTGATACGCTCTGAACAGAGGGAACGCTTTTCAATGAGATTCATGTTGTTTTTAACACTAAAGTAGCCATTATACATATTTTATACTGACCTATCTCGAGCATGGAGCAGCCCTCAGGCAGCGGGTTGAGGATAGCATGAGAGAAGAGTCCAGAGTCGTGCAGCAGCTGGTACTCATGCTTGATGCTGTGGTTGCCTTCTGCAAAGTCCAGGCTGGTCTGTTCTGGTGAACTCTGAGAGGAGGAGCTGCTGCCTGCGCTGCCGCCCAGCATGTCCAGGTTACAGTACTCTCTCCCCGCTTCCTCCGGGGTCAGCGGCAGGTCGAAGAGCAGGCCTTCTTGCAGCATAGTAATGTCGTCCAGGTCGCTGAGCGTGGTGCTGGAGCCTCTTCTGTAGGTGCGGCTGTGGTCGGCCATGTCGGTATTCTCCACGCGGACTCCGAGTCCCGCACACTCCTGGGACTGCTGGTGCTTCTGGACCTCTGCGTACAGGCTGTCACGCTGCTTTTTGGACATCCGGCCAAACTTGACCGCTGCAGGATGCAAAAACAAATATTAAACAGGAAAGAACGCTCTAGTTCAGGGGTGTCCAAACTACGGCCCGCGGACCATTTTGAAATCGGCCCCCAGCAAATTCAAAAGGTATAATGGAATATGGCCCACAAATGAAACTTGTGCTTCTCTTATATTGTACTTCTTAACTATAAATGTACAAATATATTACACAGTAGTATTCATGTATTAATAAGACCACTTTTCAAACTAATTCAGTCAATTAAAGTTGGAAACATTTACAACAAGTTTGAAATACACCCTTCCTATTTCTGATTATTATAATCAATCTGAGGCTTCTGTTTTAAGGGATGAGCTGCCAACACTCACAAGCATCATTTACCTACATTTGATTGATTTTTCTAACTTATAACTGAACTTATGAGGCAATATACCTCTAGAGAGTGGCCCAGCCCTTGGAATAGTTTTCTGTATGTGGCCCTCGGGGAAAGAAGTTTGGACACCCCTGGTCAAGGTTAAATAAGGATTGCCTGATGCATTCAAACAGTGGGAGGTGGAAACCGAGTTAATTAATATAGATTGAGCTGCTGGACTCACCATCACGGCTCATGCCCAGAGCGAGACACTTCTGCAGCCTGCAGTGTTGACAGCGGTTACGGTTGGTCCTGTCAATTAAACAGTTCCTCTGTCGCGAGCAGGAGTACATCGCATTGTTCTGCTGGCTGCGGCGGAAAAAACCCTACGGACACAAAATGTCAATAAAATGTAAACAATGTGATTATCTGAATGCTTGTAAACAATGTTTTGAGTCATTCAAATGTTGATAACAACATCCCAAAGCTGCTAGTTTTGACCAGTGTAATTATCAACTGATGTTTATCTCACCTTGCAGCCTTCACAGGTGATGACACCATAGTGAATCCCGGATGATTTGTCCCCACAGATTTTACACGGTATTACCTCTATTTGAGCTGGAGAGGAAAAGAGAATGAAGCAATACAAATCAGTTAAATAGTAGAAATGAGCTCTAAGAACGGTTTTAAGCTGGATTAGTTAACTGGAAATTATGAAATGGTTTTATTTACAGTGATTGCATAATGGGAGTCATTTCATTGTGTTTATTTTGGCGAACTACAGTTATTGTCAATTTAATGACTCCTTCCTTCATATCAAATCTAGTGGTCAGCCCATAATAAATCATACTAAATACTCAAAAGTAACTCAAACAACAGAACCACCAACTTGCATGCAACATTTCTTCCAGGTGGAAGTTAGACTGACATTATTTATTCTCTTGCCTAGATGACATTCATTTTACAGAATTGTAAGGAAACAGTGTGAAATCCACAGTGGATCCCATGACAGACAGAGTGTACTGCGTATGTATTGTACGCCTTGACTTCATGGTGGAAGCCTGAGCCTTCTTATTGAGTAACCGTCTGTTCTTTTCATGATGTTGTTTATCTAAGTAACTGGGCCTCCTCAAGCCCAGAATAGCAGGTCAATTGCATTAGCTGAGGCCCTGGGTTATAAAGTTTCACAGCTCTCTCTCTTTGTTACTCCTCCAGGGTGTACAAAACGTATGCAGGTTAACAAAGACATATACTGCTGTGCAGAACCCTACAATCGTAACTCACAAGCAACTGCTACTCGTGGTTACTGCGTGGACCGTGTGCCCCATTTGATTTTGCTCGCAGGGGGTGCAGAACAATCCTGTAACCACTTGTGTTGAGTCGCAAGAGGGTGTTAAGTAAACTGTAATTGCAGAAAACGACTTCAATTGGCCATCATAGCTCTCCAGTAATTGCAGTTTTCTAGAGGCTCTTTGATGAACTACTCAACCAATCAAAAGAGTCACTGTATCGAGAGATATGAGTCACAGCAAAGCAGGGTGACATTACCCTAAAGATCTCTCTGTGCGGTGCAGATGACCTATTGACTGTTTCTGCTACCGGTCAGTGCAATGCTACTGAGGGATATCAATAAACAAAAGGCAATGGAAAATAAATCCCTTTCAACCCCTCTCTTTATCCCTCTCCCTCGAGAGCCTCCCCCCTTCAGCCGGTTATGCAACCGTTGTCTGGTTGCATTCCACGAACACACTCATTCAAAGGTGGTTGTCTTGGCAACAGTGTGACGACCCTTCCTCTCCCTCCTGCGCTGCCATTGGCCGCTGAGAGAGCAGATAGGCCTGGGATTGGCCGCCTCGCCTGTCACTCAGCTGAGCTGCACCGTCAGGCCCGGGGAGACAGAGCTGCTCCACTGACACAGTTTCTCATTCAGAAGGGAGGGCGGCGCTAGTGGGGGCAGCCTCACAGTCTGTTTATTTAGTGGTAACGCTATTTTAAATTAAGGGATAGTGGACGGAAATCAATGTGATAACCAAAACTTGGATTCATAATAACACAGCTCCGAATCTTGTGCAACATCTGGAAATATCTAGTATACAGTAAGCTGCAGCAGGGGCAACAGACGCAGCTAATAGTAGCTCTGAACTGGTTTCAGCATGTTAAGTATTTGAGTGAAATTTCAGCTGTGTTTGAGATGGAACACGAGTCTATTTTTACTCTTCTGCAGAGTGCTGCCCAGTGATTCCTCCTGCCGTTCTGGCCTGTTGGCAAATACATGTTGCACAAATCACAGCGAAGCACTAAAGTGTAAATTGCTTAGTGTAAACAACAGTGTGTAGAGCACTGTATGGGATTAAGATATGAGAGTTTTCTCCGACTGCTTAAACACTTTGTGAACATTTATTTAATTTGATTGTTATGTTGCAGGCCTGAACATCAGTTTCTTTATTCTCTTCGGATTTAAATCGCCACATTTTCTTTAATCTGGGCACTAAGAAAGTGTCATTATACAAATAAAAATAAAAGCTTATTTATGATGTTCAAATTATACTAGCATTCATCAAAGGCTACATGTTTAAACACAAACACATCTTTATTTTAGATAATATTGTAAAGATAGTTGAACCTTTTGAATTATATACTTAAACAAAATGTCAATACAATTGTAAATGACAAAATGCACTATGCAATAGAAAGTAAAGGAACAAGAGGTACAGTATGAGTGCACACCACAGGACATCATGCATCAATCTTAAATGAAACCCTTGATAATGTGTTTTTAAGCGCTGGAGAAAACTGAAGATTAATTAATTAAATGTGATTATAAGTGACCAATTATTTACTTTAATTTGCCTGTGATACCGTCAAATTATGTAATAAGAATAATTACTTTCTGATTTCTTGAGGAAGAGAATATTAAATTGCATTTGCATTGCATCTGTGGGTATTGTCCAAAGTATTCATTGTTACATGTCTAATATATGTAATGTAAAGCGCTTTGAGCATCTGGAAAAGTGCTAAAATAAATGTAATTAATTATGATTATTTGCACCTGCACACATACTAAGAAGATGCAGCTGTATGTTTATATCATATGTTTCTAAAAAATAAACATATGATATAAAATATGCATGCCTTTTGATCTAGGCCAGGGGTGTCAAACTTAAATACACAGTGGGCCAAAATTAAAAATATGTACTAGTGGAGGGCCGGACCGGTTCAATGTTTATTGAAAAACGTATTGAAATGAACTTATTGCACATATTAAACCTGGAACTAACAAAGCTTAAATTATTGCCCATAAAAACAATATTAAACATTAAATAATCAGTTGCATTCATTTCTTATGGCTCTATCTGAAGAGTAATTTCTTATGGCTCTATCTGCAGCTTTTCCCGAGTCATTTGTTATGATTACATTTTTCCACAGGCCAACAGCAGCTTCAAAAAAACATTTCCCTCAAAGAAAAAACAAGTGCAGAAGGAAACATCCATTGAAACTCAGTGTGCTGCTCTGTGATGCTAGTTCAGGCCAGATACTTGGCATCTAATCTTGGGTGCAAGTTCATCAATGTTTGGGGTGAGGCTCTGGGGCCTCATTTATAAAGCGATATACGCTCAAAAAATGGCGTACGCCAGTCTCTACGCAATGTTTGCGATTTATAAAATACTAACTTGACGGGAAAACGTGCGGTCCTCCACGCAAACTCTAACCCATGCGTACGCACTAAGCACAAACGGGAGAGACGAGAAACTGCGACACCGTTGGCAGAAGGAAGAATGGAGAGAAATATGTGGAAATAATACCCTAAATAAAATGTTCTCATTTTCCTTCTGCCAACGGTGTCGCAGTTTCTCGTCTCTCCCGTTTGTGCTTANTACCATATGTGTTCGGGGGCCGTCTCTTACCAATGACGTCACGCATTGTACGCATTGTGATTCGCTGTACGGCAATTTACCCAGGGCAGAGCCCTAGAAAGATAAGAGTTACGACACTCTTTCGCCGCGTTCACACCACAGTACTTTTCCCACTTTAGTTCCCACTTTAGTTCCGAAATGTCGCGTTCACACCAAAAAGAGCCGGAACTAAAATTAGTTCATGAGAACCTTTTTACCCCCTTTTCCGTCCCTGCTAGAGAGCAGGGACTCTCATGCGGCTCTCTTGTGAGAAAAGAGCTATATTTCTGATTAGCTGGGCGGATTGCAAACCACGCCCCGTAAAACAAAAAAAAAGTGTTGTGAAGCCACCATTTTATTATCCTCGCATTAGCATTATTAGCATTGGCATTAGCCCAGCGCAGAAACGCAGAGAGACTAATTTATGGCAACACAAATAAAACATGGGAGCGGTGGAGATGAGGAGGTGTCGGCGTTCTGGCGATTTACTCGGAAGCCAGTACCCGACCCCAGGGATTTATTCCGGTGTGAACGCGATCTGTATTTAGTTCATCAGAACTAAAGAGTTCTGAACTAAGTATTCATGAACCTTTGTGGGAAAAGTACTGCGGTGTGAGAGCGCCTCTTGGGTAAGACATTACCCAAAATTGCTCCCAAAAACATGTCTGTGGTATAGTAAGTCGCTTTGTTTAAAAGCAAATGTAATCTCTTTGTTGTTGTTTTGCATTTTATTGTGGATGTCTTGGCCCTCTGTGTCTCTCTGTAGTTGTTTCATTGCCTTTCTTACTAAAACTGTAACTCAACAGTCAACTCATACAGAGGTCCTGCTACTAAAATGCTTGTTCAGACATGTGCTGACTTTACAAGATGTTGAGAGTTTTTCTTGTGTAACATATTACATTTCTCATTCATATGCAGTGCAAAAATGAATGAGATGACATCGCTATAAGCACATGTTGCAACCATAGAATGAGGACAGGATTTGCACTTAATTAGCGATGAAGGGAAGGGTGGGAAAAATAACAACAGATGGGAAGAATCAGATATGAGGTAATGAACACTCAGGCCACGCAGAGAGAAACCAAAAGAATGCCTTTGGATCTATGCAGCTGACTAGTTCAATTAAAACGGTGGAAGTGAAAGGATTTGCGTTTAAATGTCAAAACACTGATTTGACCATATTTTCACCTTTTAGTGAATTCATGAACTCATCTGAGCCCGCAGCAGTCATATCATCATGAGAAGGTCATTATTCCAGCTATCCTCGGTCTAGATCCGTGCTTATTTAATATTCCTGTAATACTCGTTTTTTTACCTCAGACATAATCTCTTAGGGTCCCTGTATTATCTATTATGCTGTCTAAATTGGTGCTTATTCCTCTATCCTTTTATCAAACCCCTGTCACAACTCTGCAAATGCCTGTAGTCTCTTCCCCCTGTCACGACTGTCAGATGCGATATTTTCTAGATGGAGGCAGAGCACTATTGACAGACAACAGGACAAACAGTGTGTGCGGAAGCAGCACGGACAGATCCACCATGGTAAATGTCACCTTTAATTGGATCGTTTGGATATCGCCCGTTAAGACCAAATAAACAGCGTGACTCCAGATGACAGGATGTGAAGCTAATGTGCACCTGAGGGTAATACATTCTGCCACCTCTAGTATCAACAGCTGCTGATGGAGGACACATACCAAATCAAAAGTGAGCTGAAGGGCACGCAAGCCCTTCTTCTTGTCTGTTTGTTTTGCTCATTAGCTTGTGTTGCTAGTGCATGTCACATGTAGTTCAACTTGACAGGAACAAAACAACAACATTGATGAGGTTTAAGGTGATCAACAGGGTACTGAAACAGCAGCATTAGTGCAGTTTCAGTTCAAAGGTTATTCTCATCGAGAGCATTTGTCAACAAAACCACTTCAGCAAAAGCAACAGAGCTTATCTATCACCGCAGTTTTTAGCAATGCTACACAGCTTGGCTCTATGCATGAGAATGTCTGTTTGTCAGTTAACACTCGTTCCAGACTGAAATATTTCATTGCGATTACATTTTTAGCGAACACAAATGGTTCTACTCCGGTGATCTCCAGACGTTTCCTCAGGATTCACCATGAGGTTGACATACGGTATTTTAGTGACATTTTCCCCCAAACCACTGCATGGATAGAGTGGTGCAGGAATGAGTCCTTAAACCCGGAAAGTACGTAGCATTTTAACCCTTCCGGTTCCCTTGTCTTGTTTTGTGAAAGTGTTTGCGGTTAGACGCCTGAAATAAGGTCTGTGGTAAACACGAGTGTAAGAGATGTTCACGTTTTGTCCCACAAGATAACATATGTGCATAATTACCCCATGAATGTCCAAAGCTTCTGTCATGAATACGGCATCATCCAAAGACACAAGTTGGATGTGTGACAACTGTACATCTCCATCTGCTAGTGTAATTATGTCATACATTTGCAAGCTAAAGCTAAATGGTCCTATTGGAAATATTATGTTGTCAACTGCCCCTATACAGTAAAGGTGAAGAATGGCCTCTAAAGCTTGTGTTTGACAAATTGTGACTTCAGTCTGGAAATATTTGTACTTCAAGAACACAATTTAAGTCAAACACAAGTCAGGCCACCTTCAGGTTGCAGAGGAGAAGGAAATGCTAAGTGACAAATTCTAACCGGGTTAAAAAGGGAGAAACACGCTTAGTTTGGCACACTGACCTATTGATGTGAACCTGGTGCAGGTACAAACCAGATTACAGCCTGGTCAGAGGGGGACAGATTAGTGGGCATTTGAAAGGGGAGAAGGGAGAGGATTTAGCAGGATGAGGGAGAGGAGAGGAGAAAGGATTATGGAAGCCAGAGCCAGGATCCTATAATCCTCTCGATATACTGGGTTTTATGCGCCGTGGGGCAGAGGCCAGTATGCGCTATTAAATTGTCATTGCAGTTTGAAAATGCAGAAAACACTTCTGAATGAGTTATCACTTCCACCGACTTTGTAGTAGACGACGACATGTTTGATTCCTTTTTTAGTTTATATCTCTCTGGCCGCCTTTCTTAATCTGGAAAGCTGGTCGGGAGCTTCATGCGCCTCCTTCTTTCTATTCTCCCTGTTCTAATTTGAGTATCGCCATGGTTACGTAAGACTCGGTGTCAGGGGGTCAGTGACGTTGCAGGCGAACACCGGATGGATGTGTGGCTGCTACACAGCGACAGAGACACATAATATAACCCCAGAAAGATGGCTGATGAGGGTCAGGAAGGAAACCACCACACTGACCAAAACCCCCTTAATGGGAGGAAGAGGAAGTTTACAAGCAGAGAATATAATAATAAAGCAAAACACTTTTACAGCACCCTTTCCCAGCATTGTATTTTTAAACTGTGCATTCAGGTCAGGAAGAAGCAAACACATGCATATACACGTTGTTCACTTTTGATTTGAGAACCAACAGGCAGGACATATAGAAAATAAAAAGACTGTGTATATACATGTATATGTGCAAACAATAGAGGTATGACATAACGCATATATGCTGCTGAGAGACTGTATGTAAAGTATGAGCTTTGATTAATGTAATATAAAGTGGGAAAAGATAAAAAAACAGAGAGACGGGAGGGTGGGGGTGTGAACACTTTGTGGTGCTCCACTAACCCACTTACCATAATCTCTCTCTTCACCTAATTTCATAACTGCCTGAGTTACACGATACATTCGTCATCAGAGCAACGCTTGCAAATCAATCATTTTCCTCGGCATTGTATAAAGACCTTTGTTTGTGGCGAGCTTAGATTGTGGCATAGTTAGAGAGTGCTTCGGCTTTATTTCTTAAAAAAAACGTCAAAGGAAAGCTACAGGAGAATTAATGTATATACAGTACATACATTAATACATTCATACATACATTTTTTCAGTTATTGTTTTTAAACGTTCCCCCTCACTGCCTTCTAAGTTATATTTTCACCCTGTATTGCAACATTTCAGGAAATGGAAAACAAAACAAAACAACGCAGCATCCTGTGGTCACACTTAATTCCTCAGCTAAGATTAGTGTTTGTTAATCCTCTGATATAATGCGGAGTCCCACATTATGGCATCCAGTTAAAGGAAAACTGAGGACAGAAGCGCCTCTATAGCTAATTAATTACTATACTAAGTACAACCGAAAATTTACCATATATTATGGCTTTGGAGAATCACAATTTGTTTAATTTGTAGAGCAATGGTCTATAACTTTGATCCATGTTTCTGCACCACAGCAGCAAGTCTTTCTAACAAAATCAACATGTTCATGCTTCATATTTTCTATTGAATAGGACACGAATATGTGTGATTTAAGGAAAGCTAGGGAAACACAGGAGAAATTAGGAAATGTGTTACCAGTGCTGCTTAAAAAAATAACAACAGCTGTGTTTTTTGTGTTCATGCAACTAAATTGGTGTTAAAATACACATTTGACAGTGCTATGGTTCAAAATAATAGTCCAAGCCCGTTATATCATATTGCGTTTTTATTGCGAGGACCATTTTATACAATCATATATAGTCTACAATTTAGCTTTTACATTTTTCTAATTCATGTTTCCTACCTTCTATTTGGTTACTGACATTAAATTCCGTTTGCAACGAAGATCAGTTACCTGAAATCTCTGTTGATTTTATCTATAATCTAAAAAAAGCATCATATTTTCATTGGCGAATAATGGGGAAGAATTCAAGTTATCGTACATAACAGAATTACAGTCCTTGTCAAAATATGTGCGTTTGATAGGATACAAATCATTTATTGTCAGTTACAGTTTACTTCAGGAATTCATTCAGAATAGGAAAAACACTTCAAGCTAAACATTACAACCAATGAGGACATGTACCTCTTAAAAGTATAATCTGTAAAAAATATTCTGAAAAAGAACATGCACTATAAATGTTATCAAACAAATGCAAATATACTTTCAGAAAGGTTTAGTTGCACAATAAAAAAACATAAAATGCAATGCAAATTGAGAATAAATTAAAGTGCATGGTCCTAAACAAACCAAAAATCATCCCAGTTTACTCATTATAAAATGACCGTAAATCATGTATGCACTAATCAGTAAATTTTGAAATGTCTAGACCTACCTTCCTTTTTTTCCTCCATATTTTCTCCCCCCCATTAGCCTACATTGTAAACATTGTATATGTTGAAGACTATTGAACTAAAGTTATAACCCGTATGTTCACTTTTAAACACAAAAAGCTCGTGGAACTAACTCTTTATTTAATTGCCCAAAATGACACATTGAATGGTGCAGAAAAGAGTGCTTGAGTCGATAAAACATGAGACCCTGTATTTCCGATTATATGGCAACATTTCACATGCACTGTTCAGGATATGGCAGAGGTTATTAAACAGTTCCCACGCTGGTTGCCTGTCGGTCTGAACTGACACACTGCCACACTTTCCCACGCACGCTGGAACCTCCTTCGAAGGCGCGCGGAGGGTGGCGCGCCCGTCAGATCACGGGGCACGAGGCGGGCGGACCGCGGGTTGAGGATCATGTGTAGTCCACACGCCGAACCAGGGTTAGCAGTATTCAGCGAGCTGCAGAGCAAGAAGGAGCTGAGAGGAGAAGAGAAGAGGAGCTGCTGCTTTTCACCGTTTAACCACAGTAATATCGCTTAGTCTGCACGGAAGTGACTGACAGAGAATAGCTACTAAATACACACCGTTGCTTTTATTTATTTTAAGGTCGGTGCATGCAAAGAAAGGTTAGAAAATCCATATGAGGATTTGCTGTTGTGACAGTTTTCAGCTGCTCCGTTTTGGAGCAAATAAGTGCGCATCGCTGTGTTTCTGGGCTTCATTTCCACCTGGAGTTGTAGGACTTGAAGAGTTTGCGTAGACTTCACCGCCACCATGAGAGGTAAGTTTGTGGAAATGTGTTTTAATGTACTTTTTTTATCAGCTGGACACGTCTGGCGCTTTAATATAACTTTTTTGTTGCATTTAGCCTGATAAAAGCACTGCTTTGAGACTGAGTCCAAAGTGCGTAGGCTGCAGGCTCACGCTGGAATAAGCACTAGATTACATCACACAGGGAAATAATACAATATATCTCTAGGTTGTTTAAAAAAGTGTCAACATGAGAATCTTAAAAGTTATTGACACGATGTTTAAGCTTGATATGCACATGTTTAAAGCGTTTTATCCGTTTTTGCGTACATGAAGCACATATTCGCACAAGTGAAAACATTTGTTTATTGTATTTGTTGTTACCCTTCTACAGGTCGTGTGCATTATTTATTTGAAACTAAAGAAATGTGTTGAGTGTTGTTTTAGCACACTTTATTTCACTGGTGGTGACTCCAGTTATGTAAGAGAGTGAAGGAAGGGGGAGGGAGTGAGCGGAGTGATTCACAGGCTGTCAACCCGAGCGAAAATCTGTTGGCAGGGTTTGTTTACAGTTATTAAAGTAGTCCCCCTTTTCTAAGACGCTTCTCCCTTTTCTACATCCTTTATTTCATTATACTTTCATACAACTTGTGTAGGCTATGGTTAAACTATTTGTATTACAATTGTACTATTGACACGTTTTAATCATTAATGTACATGATGTTTACTTGTGAATAAAATCCCTTAAGGCGTGTTGTTTTACTGTTAAAGTTAGTTATCAGACAGGCAGCGTGTATTTGTTTTCAGCGTCAGCAGTATGGCGGCCAATGTTGAGAGTAGGAGGAGAAGGTGGAGGAGGACGAGAGAGAGAGAGAGAAAGGGAGAATATAAAGGAGGTGTTCCATTGACCTAGTTCTGTCATTGAGGATTACACGCATACACACACACACCCATATGGGGGAGTGCCATGCTGCGTCGTCATGTCTAATGTTGATCACTTCAATCAGTTATCCGATTGTTCCTCTTTAAAACATTGTAGGTATGCGAAGCAAGGTTACAACAGGTTACAGTGTTTTTTTGCAGTTGTGATGTCAAAGCCATGCACCGCTGCGACAAGCAGGATATGAGCACAGCATGCCATGAAGCACAGCAGGGTTCAGTTAAGCTCAGTTTCCTCTGAAGCTAAGGTTACTTACATCTACCAGAGTCTGTGTCGCTCTATTCAAGCACGGCATGTCACTCTGATTTTGTAGAAATTCCACATAACCCACAATGTCATCCTCTGTCTCCAATTTAATTTCCTTGAAGGAGAAAACAGAGTTTAACTTCACAAGCAACATGTTTGTGATTCACTTTTTATAACAGATAACACTTGCCTACGTGTTTATCTTAGAGTTTGCTTTACAAACACAAACAGGTTAGGTTGGTATGTTGCAACACGACTAGTCAAACTTCAATAAAGCACTTATGGATTTTATGCCTCAGTGGACGTGCAGAGCTGGCATGCCTTCATAACTCTGTTGGTGCTCACTTAGCCCTGGATCATAGTTATTGTAGGATAGCAGTAAAGTGTAAAAGGGTGATTTCTGCTCTCCCAAATGTGCTGCTGTGCTGAGCTCAGCCTCGAAGCACTATCTGCTGCAGCCTTGGGGAAGTTCACAGCGGGCTCCAGTATGTGTCAAGGTGCCCTTTCCCTCTGACAACTGCATGCTAACATTCGTAACCTCTTATCTAAAGCTTTAACTCTTCACGCTGCCTGCATGTATTTCCAAACAACATGTAAATTCATCTTAGGTCGCTGACTTTTACCGTAGTTTGACTACTAGATAGTATTTTGCAGCACAGTTACATAAAAACAATATTTTCTTTGCATTATCGTGAGTATTTTTATGTGGGCCGCCATATGTATTTTCAGAATGTGCATAAGGGATATTTTGACATCCAAACAGACATTAGGAGATTTGAATTCAAGGTGACAATGATTGCTGCAGTACAGTCCTACATTTGTTCCTGTGGTTTGGAGCAGCGTGCACAATGACATGCTCTGAAGGGAATTCCTCAGTTTGGTTTTACTTGTGCTGCAGAGGCCCACTTTGGTTTAGAGCTGAATAAACAGCACGACCAAGTGAAAGCCCTTCGCTGATCAATGGTGAGGGATTACAGGAGCAGAGTGTGTGTGAAGCCTGGTTTCTTGCCAGGCATAGTGTTGATTATACTGTAACAAAAGTGGGAAAAGGTGTAAGAACGTAGAATTGATTGATAGAAAGTCAACCAAGTAAATGTAATGTATTTTATTAAAAGGGGGAAAAACCATGGCCTAGATCACATGTGTCAAACTCAAGGCCCGGGGGCCAAATCAGGCCCTTGGTGGATTTAATTTCGGCCCGCAGGATCATTTCTAATTACTATTAGATCTGGCCCGTCTGTATATTGCACGCACACCTTCACTCCATCCTGAGGGTTTCCTCAGCTCAGGGGCCTCATGTATAACGCGGTGCGTAGGATTGACGTGGGAAGGTTGCTTACGTAGTAGAAATCCGAAAAATAGGTCCATAAATGTTCCGCCACTTGCCGTTTCACAAAACATTGCGTACCGGCGAGGAAAGTGCGTATGGCACTTCCTACGCCTGTTTTCCTTTTATAAATCACAACCGACTCGAAATGCGGTGCAGCTTTTGCGGGCTTCACGTAACGCCCATGTTTACAATAGTCAAAGAAACGCCCTTTCATTCATTCATTTTGACTGACTGCATGGAGAAGATCGCAGGAAATGACGACAGAACAGCTAAAAAAAACATCTCACATCGTGTCAGATTTTGGTTATTTTGGGGAGGTTGAGGTAAATCATATTGTCTGGTGGATGCAGTTTGAACCAGAGTAGCAGCATGGAGGTCGGATCGTCACCAAAATAAAAAA